ATTAGCTTCTTGAAGTCTGACAATTGTCTCAGAGGCTGCGACAGCTGCAGCTCTGCTAAATTAAAATCGATTTAAATTTCGTTAGAAATAAATTTTAATAAAACAACAAAGCTTGCCTTTAAAGTTTACTTTCAATAGAAGTGTGTTTTATTTATCTACATTCGCTTTTCGAGTGGAAAATGGCCTAAAATGTAAAGTAAATAAAGCAATTATCTAAATACATTTCCATGGAACATAAACATCTTTTCTGTATTCATGCTATGCACCTTGGGCTAAACTAATTTATATAAATTTTAAAGTCAATTTGATTGGTAAAGTTATCTAAAAACTTATACTTCCACTAATTGCAATTATAAAATTAATTAATAATAAATTAATCATTTATACCCAAAATCTTTGCTCAAGAAAACTTTAAATATATATATGTATATATATACGTTCCATATTCTTGCAGTACTTGAAAACACTGAACCTTCCGACCTATTTATGTATGATTCACAATTAATTGGCCGCCCAGAGTGCAGAGAGAGGAAAATGCTGTGTTAATTGCTGCTGTCGACTGCGTTGAGTCAGTGCACTTTGGGGTCCCGTAAGGAGACCGCATCAATTGTTGGTCAATTAGTTCGTCTGAGCATAGGCAGGCACATTGACATCGTAGACTGAGCTAATTACGGGCATTTGATTAAAATTTAACACTCGGTCAAGTGCCACAGACAAACTGTAATTAATACAAACGATTTTCAGGTGCTGTGGCTCAGCTAATTGGCACGTGTTATCGAAGCCAATCGGTCGTAAGGCTGTTGCCTGGCACCCAAAAGAGCTGTCAACGACTCTAAAGTGTTGCCCCGCCGACTTGCCCCTTGTGGCAGGCACACTCTGTGCCGCAACGTTTGTCTTTCAGCAGAAGCGAAACAATTTCTGCCACAGACACCATAAAAGGCATATAGCAAAGCACCAAAGGAGTGGAGAGGAGGGGCTGCAGGCTGGGGGCTGTCATAAGCACGTTTAATGCGCTTTTCAGTGAGTATGTGAGTGTGTGTGTGTGAGTTTGCTTGAATGGGAGCATTGCTTAATCAACTTACGACTAAACAAAAGCACATATAAATTATTTAATTAATCCCTTTTGGGTTTATTGGGCGCACACACTTTCACGCGCACACACACACACACACACACGTACTTGTGTGTGCGTGCTGGTAATCAATGTCATAAACGTAGGTGTGAAAATGGCTGACTTGATTGTTTTTCGCATGAGTTTCGCATGGGCGCAAAAGGCGAGCGAGCGAGCGAAGAACATGTTGCCTACTTTTTGGGGCCGCATTCAATTTGCAATGAAATACAAATTGATATTTGATTGAGCTGCTCCCAGACGCACACTTGGCACAAGTTCATTTTATCTGCAAACAGTCTGCTATAAGCCGCACCAGAGCGATTTATGGCAAAGGTGTAAGGGGCGTGGCACAGCAGCAGCTATTGTGAATGAAAAGGGGTGCATTCCATTATATGGACAAAAGGGACAAAAGTGCTCCAGCTAAACGAAAATAAGCCGGATCAACAGATATCTAAAAAATGTTTGCCTCAAGTTCATGTTTGTTTTTTCCTTCGACCACAAACTTTCAGCTCCGAGCTTAAAAAAGTTGTAATTAAAAATTGAAGTCGCATCGGCTTATACTTCTATGGTTTGACCTTACAAAGACAGTCTAAAATAGTTATGTTGTTATTAAAAAAAAAAAAAAGGTCGTAAAGGTCAAGTACCTAACAGCCGAATATTGCAGCGCCCTTATTATATTTTCAAATTTAATATGCTTTAACAAGTCTTGGCGCTGATAAAGCCCCTGATTGCAGTCTCATGGCCATTCAATATTTAATAGTTGGCTCGAAAGTTGAGCTGCTTTGTTTGGCTTAACTCTTTGGCATTGCCAAAATATCATGGCCCGAATCAGTGGCAGCTGCAACAATGCTCCGGCTGAGCGCCAGCCAAGTTCATGCCGGCACGCACTAAATCTTTGCTTTCATGTCGCCGTTTTTGTGCGAAACAGCACCAAGACAAAATATATACATACATATATATATATATGTATATAGACACATACAAGCGAAAGTCGGGCCAAAGTTTAGCCAAATAGGACAAAAACGTACATGCTGGGGATATAAGTCCCAGCCACATGCCTTTTATGCAAAGTTTGGATTAAGTTTTGGCCCCAGCCAGACTCAGGTTGGGGCGCAGAAGTCGGCCAGGCCAGAATAGGGACAGGACGGGCATGACTGCCCAAATTTGTAAACAATCAGAAAATGTGTCAACTTATTGCTTTGTTGAGCCGAGCCGAGCCGAGCCCAGCCCAGCCCAGCCAGGCCAACAAACAACAATGGGCTCAGATGCCATAAGTAAATACATAGTTTCACATTTGGGCGCTGGGCGTGCCCAAGAGCGTTTGAAAATTCAGTTAAGCCGCTTAGTGCAATGCGCGCCAGTAATAATAAAACTTATCTGATGATAGCCCCAGATAGTTGAAGTTTTTAAAGACCGAGCTCTTAAATTGAATAACAACGGCAAGGGAGGGCCGATTGCCTGGCCAAATTGAAAGCTGATAGTCAAATTGTAATTGGCAAAGCGTATAATGATGTGCAGTCTCAAAGGATGGCAGCCAAATTTAAAATAAACAAGACTAGCACAAGAAACAGCTGTACATCCACACACACACACACACCCAAACGCACACACATGCACACACTGATCCCTTTGACCAGCTTACAATGCTTTGCAAATAAATTGGATTTCAATTTTCCTGCTACGGGCTGTGACATTCTCTGGCAGAATGCTTTAAACGCAGCTCAAGACAAAGGCCAACCAGGGGGAGGGGAGGGGGCTGTCTATCTGACATGTTCGGATTGTCTTTTCGGCTGTGTATCGTTTTTCGTTTTTATACACGAATCTCTAGTCAGCCAGACTGGCTGGATTGAGTCCTTGTGGGCCAGCAATTAGTAAGCCAATACCGAGACGCACGCCTCGTGTCAATGGCCATTGAAGCACTCGCTAGCATTTCAATGCCATTTACATAAAGCGCTGTCCACATTATCCAGACAAATGTGGCGAGCAGCTACGCCATAAAAGTAACGCCAACCAAGTAGCGCATTCCCACTGCCAGGCAACAGCGACAAAGCAAAAGTAATTTCATTCGTCTCTAATCATATCACATTCACCATCATCATTCGCCATCGTTCAACGTAATACTCTTAACTGCTGCATCGCACATTCCCAGTGCCACATTCCCAATGCCAATGCCAAGGGAAAGAAAAACATTCGAAATTGCTGCGAAAAAGCAAATTCACTTGAAAGTGCGACTTATACGTGTTCATTTATCGTGATATTTGAAGATCGGGCTGAGATTTGTGGAATATTTTTCTGCATACGTTTGCTTGCATGGGACTGTCGATGGCAATTTCTGTGCTCTGAATAAGACAAGCAAAGGCTTTGAGTTTCAATTTATCTATGTCTTAATTCTGCATTGCTTCTGATGTGATTATCATATATAGAGAAAAAAAAACACACAGAAAAAAGAATAATTTCATAATAATTAAAAATGGTTTCATTGATTCACATGATTTAACAAATATTTTATAAAAACTCTTAACAGTTTTGCTAAAGAAACATTGTCATGGAAGCAGTTCTCAATGAAAATTCTAACTTATAAACAAAATACATCCTTTATTATAACACTTCCACTGATAATTCATAATTTCACACTTTACTATCAATCCACTGCTTCAACAAATATTTTATGTTCCTTGTAGACTGCTAGTTGGCATATGGAAAAGGAAAATGAATAACAATAACCTCTTTATTTCGCCAAATATGCTTTATTCTGTATTCTGCACGCATAAACGTAGCTGAAATCAAAGAAGCATTCTCATGCTGCTGTTACGTATGCAAACGCTATAAATAAAGCGGCAAATGTGTAAAGTTTACCCTCACTCTGTCCGCAATGCTGTGGCTCTTCTCATTATTCTGTATCTGTGTGTGTGCGTGTGTGTTTATGTGTGTGTGTGTTGCTCGTTTTGAATATGCTTGTCATTGTTAGGAGCAGCATTGCGGCAAACAGTATCCACTGGCATCAGCATGCGAGGCACAGCGCACGTGTGGCAAGCGACGCGAAGCTGGGCGAGTGTTCGTTCAACTGCTTGTGCGAACAAGAGAGCTGAAATTTCCCCAGTGACTGACAGACGATCAGGCAATAAATGTGGCAACAAATACAACAACAATAACAGACACTGGAGCACAAACAAACACACACACACACATACGCATACATTCAGGACACATTCAATTGCGGCAACCGCAATACATTCACATTGGCGCTCACTGTAGGAGCTGCCAAAAACTTTGCATATATTGGGAAACAATAAATTTTACAGCAATGTTTGCGTGCGTATATGTGAGGATGTATGTGTGTGTGTTTGTGCACACGTCCAACAGCAAATGACCTTCGACATGGGCAGGGCTTAGGGGCAAAGACAAAAAGCACAAAATTGCTAGACTGTGACAGCTGCGAGCCATGGATAACTTAAATGGGTTAAAAGGATACGTCCGGATGACGCCCACTGCTGCTGCTGCTGCTGCTGCTGCTGCTACTGCTACTGCTACTGTTACTCTTACTGTCGCTGTAGCCATTGCCATTGCAGTGCTTTTGTCTGATTTGCTGCTTGGCGAGCATTCGGGCTACGCTCACTGCATATTTGATGTCAACAACAACGCTCAGCTCAAAGTGACAGCCAAATTGAAATGACACCGCCACCAGTCGTCCCCTACCTACATCCACCCCCCACTCCCCCCACTGGCTAGATGTACACTGTAACAAACGGGGACAAACACGCGTCTCAGGTCATAAATATTGTTAATCATGCCCGTTCTCACTTTCCATTTCACTTGGCTTTCAGCTCGGACTTAAGGAGCTTCTTTATCAAGTATACGCTGCATTACCTTAAGCCGTGAGGAATATGGGATTTCGTTTGGCAGTTGAAACAAACTCCATGTGCATTTCTTGATTATTTTATTTATCTTAATTTAAACTTGGTATATTAACTTATCAGTAAATTTACACATTCATAATGAGCACAGAAAACATTCTCTTCTCTGTATTTCAATCAATTAATAAATATTCATGCAAAGCTTATTGTTTATCGTCCAGCTCATGAATATTTATTGTCGAGCACACAAGAAATGATAAAGAATCAATCAATAAATTTGATTATCACTCGAGCTCCACAATATTCGTTGGAAAAGTTGTTGAATTTCTGGCGAATGAAGCCACTGGAAACACTGGGGAACAAAGGCTCTGCAACAATTTACAATTATAATCAATTTGACTTTTTCCTTTTGTATTGCAAATTGTTGCGTCAAGGCTTAAGAAAAAAAAAAGCAAAAGTATTTTAAAGCGCGAAGAGAAAAGCAAACGAAGCAGCCGTAGTGATGCTGGAGTTAAAAAATAATATATATATATATGTATATATATATATCAAGTTTACCCTGGACTATCTTTGCTATTTGTTTTATTTCATTTTTATTTTGAGCAATTTTTTCATTAAGTGTCGGAAGGTGTGCGCCGAGCACTACGAGTATTTCGTATATTTCTCGCTTCGAGTTTCGTAAAAGTTTGCCCAAACAATTTTAATAAACATGCGCAAAAATTTAATTATATGCATGGGGGCATTCAGTATAATGGCCTAAATAGAGCCATCGAAAGAGGCGCAAAATAAACATAACCAGATGCAAAGCCTGATAAGCAGCTAGCCAAATACACACACCATCACCCCACCCACACACACACTCGAGTGTTGAGCTTAACCCAGGAACTGAGCTAAAATTTAATATTGGAAGGCAATGAGACGCAGCGCAATAAAAACCCAAAACCCCCCCAAGGAAAGGCAAGTCCCGGCAGAGGGGGGGCAGCGCCACAGGCTGTGCGGCGCCTCAGGTGCCTCTCATTGTTGCTGCTTGTCTAATGCCAACTAGCTGTGTAGCCTCTGCTACAATTCAAATAAAGTCCACATCAGAGGCGGCTGGGTATGCGCCTCAGTCTCGGTCTGGGTCTGGGTCTGCGCTCCACAATGCTCGTGGTACTCGTGCTCGTTCCGATTGCCTACTCCAGCCGGAGAGTTGAGAGTCGATCGAGGGGCAAATGTTGCTGCTTTGTTACATAATAGTTGAAGTTTTATTGTCGAAAGCTATTAAACTTTTCCCATCAGAAGCGCAGGATGTGGCACATGGCAAAGTGTAGAGCATAAAGGTTACTTGCCTTAGACAGACACACACCAACACACACACACACACATACACTCAGCAACAGATACAGCGAGCGAGTAGGTTATCAGGTTATATATATTCATAGAGACAAGCTGCCTTAGCTCCAGGGAATGATTTCGCCTTCATCATGATCGGCTGATAGAGCAATTCAAAATGAATATTGAGCCGTGCACAACAAAACTGGAAAAGTGGAAAATAATGTGGAAAGCAAACTGGGAAAATCTTCATGCTAAGAAACTGTTCTAACAACAGAGTTGAATATGTTCGCGGTTTAAAATGTTTAGGCTCAATATGTGACAGAAACTCAAAGTAAAAATCTACAAAAATAACAAATAAATAAACAAAGAAGTTTTTACATTATATTATATACATATTATATTGAAAATAGTGCACATAAATGCTTAAATTTAATATTCATTATCATTTACTCATAGCAATTGCCTTATAGCCCTCAAGTCGTTCAACGGTTACTCTGCTAGCTTCAATCAGATAAACCAAATTTGATTTTAGTTCAAGCACCCAACCGCGTGGTTTAACAATTCAAGTTTGTGTTTTAATTTGAAAATTGTGACCTGAAAAGTCTATAAAAATCAGGCTTTAACGACTACGCTCGCAATTTACCCCACACCCAGAACTAGCTGGGGCCAGAGATTGCGTCAATTGACTTTTCTGTTAGTTAAAGCTCGAGTGCAGAGCGCCCCAAACTTGTTACGCTTCTAACCTGCCAAAGAGCCGCAGAGGGTAGTTTGGTAAGGGGCTAATCTGATGGGGAGGCGAGCTTATAGCACTCTATGTGGCCCGCTTGAATAATTATTATTGTAAATAAATATCTTCAATCAAGTTTACTTTTATCAGAGAAGTTTTATATCCATACCAATCTACCCCGGAGACCTTCTGGTAGATCCCAGGGTATCTCTTGGTTGCTCATCAGCGACTCGCGCGCGCTTCCCTTATTTTTTTGTTACTGGGGCTCGTTGTGGCCAGTGCTCAACTTCTGGCTTGCCCCTAACTGTTTGTTGCAAGCCAGCAAGCTAGGGCTGGCTGTAGGTCTAGCCGCTTCATCTTCGATTCGCTGTTCATGTAGCCTGGGCACGCATAGCGCATAAAATTGTTTCAATGTGTTGGTTCAACTGTGCCAAAAGTTACACTTTGTCGATGCGCCGCGCTCCCCTGTTTCAATCTGCCCCACTTGTAATGTGGGTTATGTCAGGCTGTGTGTGTGTGCACTTTGGATGTAGGTGGTTTTAGTTCTGCGGCCAACGCATACGAAATTGAAAAAGTTGAGCCACACTTTCAGCTAGAATCAAGAGTCGAGTTCAGCAACTGTTTCGCATTCGATAATTCGTTTTTGTTCTTGAGCCTTTTGCTAATGAATTTGCTTGTTTGCTCTCTGCGGCTCAACCGCAAAAGCCAAAGCCGGGCCACCCCAACGCCAGCGTCGGCTGCAAGGCCGAAGCATTTGAAATGCAATTAATCAGTGTAAATTGCAGGAAACTGTTTTTGGAACAAGATAACAAAATACGAATCGACCGCAAGCATAAACCAACAAACCAGCACGCATGCACACACTCTCTCTCTCTCTCTATCTCCCTCTCTCACTCTGTACCTATCTCTTTTCCTCATGCACACTTGACACTTTTATGTGACAGACCCGAACCCTAAATCGAGATTGAGCTGAAGCTGGCGATGGAGGCTGAGCATGCCGAAAGAGATGGAGCTATACATAATGAGAAAGAGTCGGTGATAGAGCAAATAATGTTGATGCAATAACATGTAAGTTTGACACTTGCATGTGCTGCATGTGGGGGGGGACGCTCTATCCAGTTACATGAGTTACATGCACTTAATGTTGATTTGTGCACGAACGAAAGGACCCCATGACCAAACCTGACCAGAGTACCAGACCAGACCAGGCGAGAACTGAACTGAGCCGTAAGCTGGAGCATTTGCCCAGCTGCTTGCCCTGCACTTCAAGCCAAAGCCAAGTTGAGTTTCGTTTGCAATTTTCATCTGCAGCTGTTACTTGAGTGCACAGCACACAGACACACACACACACAGAGAGAAAGAGGGAGAGAGGGAGAGGGAGACAGACAGTTGCACACAACTCGTTCGCATAGATAAGTTTAAGTGTACCAAAACGAAATTGGAAAAATATAATGAATTTGTAATTGCATTAGAACGAATCTCTGATACACTAACGAATGCAATTTGATTAAGTGAAATAGGTGTTTCTATAAATAAGTGAAAGTTATACACCTTATGATTGATTTGATGGAGATAATTTAGAGGAATGAGACGTAGAGATGATGACAGAGCTGCAAATTTTGTAAGATTGAGTTGATACAGATGTTATAGATGATACACTGATGATGAGTACAGACCCAAAAGAGATAACATGAGGGAGAATACTTATAGAGCACATAGAGTATAGAATTAATAGATATAGAAATTTTTTTAAATTAGAGTTGATCGAGAGAATACATATAAATGCTACAGAGTACAGACTTAAAGCAAAGATGATAGAGCATACTTATAAAGGATGTAGAGGATAGACTCAAAGCAGATGTTAGAGAGAGCATACTTATAGATACGATAAGAGATATAGAGGACAGACCAGAAGCAGAGGACAAAGGTGAAAAGTGCAAATAAAAATGCAGCCAATTCTTTGACTGATTTTGAGTATAAATTATACTTAAACACTGAATTTACATAAGGTGAGCTCAGATAGAAAGGCAAGAGTATCTGAAACATGCTCAAGTCCGGCTGGAAATTGTAGCTATCATTTAAGCTGTGCCATTTAAGACCCAAGGCCATGGCTCAAGCCACGAAAACCATAATGCAAGTGAGTAGCCAAGCAAAATGCGCACTAAGAGTAAAAAACACACAGAGAGAGAGAGAGGGAGAGAGAGAGAGCGACAGAGAGAGAGAGAGAGAGAGAGAGAGAGAGTCAGAGTGAGAGCGAAAGACAAGCAATAAAAGAAAGGGAGATAAGAAGCCAAGCCACGCAAGCGATTTGACCCTTGTCGAAGCATACAACAAGTATCTGCAATATCTATTACACTTGAGCTGTTGAACTGCTGGACTGTGGTTGCTCGATGCTCCCTGCCAGATGTCCAATGTAATTACAATTAATAAATAAATATGATTTTCTTGGCAAACAGACGACGGCCAGTGCAGGGGCGAGCTGATTAAATTAGCCCAAGCGTATAACTTGAAAATTAAATTTATATAACGCCCAGTTAAGTTATTTTTAATTGGCAGCAGGCGCCAACCAGCCAGCGGGAAATCAAATCAAAATGTCGAAAACCGCTCAACGCACGCGCGTTCAAGTGTTTGCGTGGCCAGGTCAAAGGCTATGCCATCCAGTTGTGCCGCCTACGAAGGCGGCCGCAGATGGCTGGGCGAATACTTGGCGCACCCACTGTCAAATAGCTGCCCGAGGTGAAAGTTTCTAATTATCCGATATTGTTGCCTGTCAACAGTATTTGAGGCACATCGCCTTCGATTCCACAGAAAACTTTGATATTATTTCCCCACCCATACACCAGGAGCACTCCATTTTTCAGTCCTAATTAGCACTGTAATGAATCAATCTTCAATCAACTTGAACATGTAATTAATTTGTGGCTTGACAGCTGTGCAGCCAATAAGAAAACAATTAATCCGACCTACTCACACTGGACACTCCGCCGGAAGGATTGTCAATCCAACTAAAACTTGTGATATAAATATATCTCGATATACACATACATACATACATACCTATAAATATCAGATTCAATTTCATGTTGACAGTTTATTGACTCAATAAATATTTCGCATCAATTGGAATGACCAGATAATTAACTTAGTTTTATTGATGGGGATTAGTCATATTTTATTGGATTATCAATTGAATCTCAAATTTGTATTAAATATAAATGGGACAAAATATTGCCCGTTGATGAGAAATAGCCTTATGTGATTTAAGAATGGATTATAGTTTAGTTTATATACTTATAATAGAATTTATATACTACTTATGACAGAATTCAATTAACTTACCCTGAACCCATTTTCAATGGGAAATCAGGTATATAACAGGCAGCAGGAGACGTGGCAGACCCCACAAAGTATATATATTCTTAATCAAGGCGACGAGCTGAATTAATTTAGCCCTGTCCGTCCATCCTTACGTATAAACACGTCGATCTCAAAAGATATAAAACCTAGAGACTTGAAATGTTGTTTCCTAAGTCCGTTTATATCACGCGCATATCGAATTTTTCTCCAAAAGTCGATAGCTACTCCCGATATTTTATTATCGAATAAAAACCTCATAGAAAGTAAGTTATTTTCTTCCCAATTTTAGATGTAGACTCACTTGTATTTTGTTGTAAGTTTTAAAAAACAGCAGCCTAAAATATCATAATTAAACAGTAACATGCATTTAATAAGCTAATTAACTAATATGCACAAATATTTCTAGTTGGGAAATAGCTAATGCATTTACTCAAGCTCAAACGAAAAAGAAGCGCTTTATGGACCCAAGGGCATCACTTTGAAATATTAAAGGACAATACGCAATCAATTATGGATTTGCACCTAAGAAATACAAAAAGAATAAGAAGAAGACGAACAACTGACGATAAGTGAAGCAGAAGAAAAGCGATGTCAAATACTTAGCGCTGGGCTGAGGCAAACAAAGGACACCAAATGGATAGAAAAGGGCAGCCGAAGCCAAGGAAATCAATTAAAAGCATTTTGCCATCCCACGAATAGTTGCCCCGCCCACAGCAGCGACTGTCGCCCAAGTTGCCCCACCAATTGTCGTTTGCCGTCGACGTTTATAATTTATGACGCCTATAATTGCAGCAATTTATGTGTGTGAGTGTGGGTGTGTGTGTGTGTGCGCTTGTATTTGCGCTAAGGCTTATGTCGTACAGCAAACCATTTTTGATACGTATGCCATGTGGGCGTGGCTGATGGAAAGGGGTGGCCGCTTTAGCCACGTTTTTGAAGTTCAGCCTCGCATGGTCGTTTTGCCGTTGCAGGCAAAATGTCGTCCTGGTGCCTCGTCCTTGCTTGATTGCACTTTTAATTAACTTTTTTTGCGAGCACTATGGCTGCTGCTGCTGCTGCTGCTACTGCTCCTGCTACTGCTCCTGCTCCTGCTCCTTCTGCTGGCTGCTGTTGCAATTCTCTGCTGCAGCTACCAATTGTTGGCACTTTGTGCGTTTTTTTTTTTCTTTCGCCTCGTCATTAACAAAGGCAAACAAGTCGCGCATGAGGCTATAAATAATTGAAGGATGCACCCAGCTGCCGCAGCAACAACCACTATGAATACAATCGACATCCTGCCACATCCTCTGTTTGCTATTTGCCTGCTCACTTTGGCCCATAATTTCGCCCACGTGCTCAATATGTTAATTCAATTTGCTCGATTGCAACAAAAACAAAAAACCAAAACGACTATTGCCGCAACGCTGTTCTTTTTTCTTCTTCCTCTTCTATTTTTGTTGTTGTATACGTGTTAAAGTCAGGTAAGTAGCCGAGTGTGGGTAGTGCTGAGTGGTGAGTGTTGAGGTGTGGCGCCAGCTGATTGGCAGTGCGGGCACGCATGTTGTTATGATTGGAAAATGAAAATCATTTACGTGCGCCGATAGCGCAGCGCCAATTTGCAGCCCATATAAATCAAATCTAGCAGAAAGATATCCCAGCGATTGCAGCGCCCAAAGCGGCTGCTGCCGGCGGTGCTGCTGCTGCTGCTGCTGCTGCTGCCCAGTGAATCGTGGATGAGTCAATTAATGTGGCAACGTGCAGCGCATAATGAACGCGAGAATGAGAAAAAAATGATGATGGGTGAAAATCAAAATCAAAATCAAAATCGAGCCATCAGCTTTCAGTCACAATCTGAATTGGTCAGTTAATGACTGCGCATCAGAGCCATAAAATAATTGCCTGATTATGGCCAACATAATAATAGACAGAGTTAACGAGTGACGCAACACTTGGAATACTGAAAAGCTATTTTAATTTAACTATTATGAGATATATATTATAAGTATATTATGATAAATATATAAATAAACTGTTTGCCCAAATAAATAGCACATATTCATAGTCATATTCATATATATACATATATTCCCTTATAACTAATCCTCATTAAATATGAAAACCAAATCCCCGAAGCAACTTTGGATCCGGCTAACAAATATTGCGAGCTCAGATGCTTTTCAATTAGTGGAATTTTTGTTATTTTTTAAATATTTATTTACTCGCAGCGCAAATCGAGTTAGACTTAAATGGGTCCAAGCAAGCGAAAAGCGTTCAAAAGAAAAACGCATAAATGAAAACTAAATATTTGCACTGGGTCTTGGGCCCTTGTTATAGCTGCCAACTTACAAGGGAACAAAAACAAAAGGGGGGGACGAGACGAAAAAAGGTTTTACCCTGGCCAAAACGGGCTAGGTACACCAACAACAGCAGCAACGAATAAAGTCTATGAGAACCTAAATAACTAAGTCAATAAATCAATTCGACATAATTTTATATAGCTTTTTTTCGTATCTAAAATTTCGTTTTTTTTCTTACTAAATCCCAAACAAACAAAAGGCAAAGGAAAACTGTATGGCAGGGATAACAATGATAGCGGGTCAAGAGGCTGAAACACATGGCCCAAAGATACATAAACAATGATAACTGTAAACTTTATCAATTTATAAAATGGCGGCCGCAAACAGAGCACAGGCAGCCAAAAAAACAACATTAGCAACTCGCGCGCTGTTAAGTTAACAGAGCGCAGGCTTAAATAGCTGTTACGTTAACAGAAAGCTCTACGCAGCGGTGGCCGCACTCGCTAAGCAAATGTAAAAGCTTGCGGCTATGTTAAGCAGCTAATTATAGTTAATTTGTACATAAATATTTATGTAAATATATATGTGGCTAATTGGCAGCATATAGTTTTGAGAATTCACGCGCAACGTTAAACATTGTAAATCTCAAAATAAAAAACGTTCAGTCAATCAAATGTAATTTAGCAGCAATAGCTACGCAATGCCAGCGCATAATTTAACATGAGGCTAAACAAATTGTCTAGGTAATTCAAATGCCAAAACGCGCGCACACACCCACACACAATAACAAATTTAAACAATGAATGAATTGTTTTTGCTACTTGTCAATATTATCTTTTCTATTTTCAGTTTCTCTGCCGCTGCTTCTGCTTCTGCTGCCGATGTTGGTTTGTTTATAAGCCAGGAAGCCAAAAGTTAGCAGTAAAAAACATTGCATTATAAATAAGTACTATATTTTAGTGGCCAAGCATACGCGCTGTGTGTACAATGTATACTTTCAAAAATAAACAAAAATATAAATTGAAATTCAAATTGAAATGCAAAACATGTGCTGAAATGAATTGTACAAGTGTCAACTTTGATATGCGACCAACTTGACTCAGCGCGACAGCCAAATATTTTAGCCCATCATGTTTTTTTTTTTGTTTTTTGCACAAAATTAGGCAACAAAATTGGTTAGCAATAGAGTGCCCCACATATTGTGTACCCGCTGCATATATGTGTATGTGAGTGTATGTACGTACATGAATCGCTAACCACAGCATCGAAATGGCAGACGACCAAACAAAACATTTTTCTAATCAATTTAGCTTGTGCTCAAATTAATCACATACATACAAATGGCTTCAAGATGAGTCTTCAAGTGCGCACCGTTTGGCCAATGGGTGGTCAGTGCCTAAGGTACAACAGCAACAACAGCGAGTAAGTGTGTTCGAAGTTATCAATGTCTGACAGGAAGATACCTTGTATAAATTCTATGCATTGATATGGAATACTAAAGTATTTATGTGGCCAACCCGAAGGCTTCATCTGTATAAATTAGTTTATTTACGGTTTAATAGCAAAAGGAGATATCAATATTATTTGATATAAAAATAAATAAATATCTCTATGAACCCTCAGACATTGAACTAGATATCCTTAGACTTGAGCTTATTATCAATTTATGCCTATTTTCTACAAATGATATCCAAGATTTGGATGAAAACTAATCTCTTATAGATTATTATACTTATTAATTATTAATCTAACACTTTTACTTACAATGTTCTAGGCTTTATCTATTCTATAGTCCCATTTGCTTTTACGCACTAATTAAGACCCACTCAGATAGTTTACATTGAATCTGTGGCCAATAGCAATCAGGATTGCAAATTAAATAAGTGTCACTGCCCTCAATCACGCCCACCAAAAATATGATCACAAAACACTTATATCCCCCATTGCCCATTTTCAATAAGCACAGGGTATAACAACGACATTGGGAGCCCCTTCTTCTAATTGCGTTTAAGAAATGCTGGCAACATTTTTGTGGCTATAAAAATAAATACTTATAAATAAGTATATAAGACAGTGAGCAGTGCCAAAGCTATCCATCCAAGCCCCACGGGCCCTCCACCCTCTACGCATATACAAAGAATCATAATAAGTGCAAATGTGTAGACAAAGCCGCAGACAATGCCAAAATAAAAGAAAAAAAAAAAAATTAAAAAAAAAAAATGTTAAATAAAAAATAAACACAAAAGATTGTCAAAAATAAATTATTTAAAAAAAATATTCGTGCTGCTTTTTGGAGTATTTCTATATACTTAGGCATCTGTATATAAATAAATCTCAGTGTATATAGAACTTTGTGTCGACGGCCAGCAACGGTCAAATGCTCTCTCAGAGACCCTTGGAATGCATCCGCTAAGATCTTACGAATTGTGCTATCGATACCTCAGCAAATGTCATTTGCTGTAGTTGTCAGCACATTTCTTGGCTGACGAGAGAGAAATTCGCTGGGTATAAACACATATTAATTGACCATCAAGAGCTGTCAGCACTAACAACAATAACAACAACAACCAATGACTGCCACCAGAACAACAGCAACAACAACAAGATCACCAACAATAGCAGCACGAAAGTGTTATTAAAATATCGCCACGCTTTCTCAGCTTATGTTGTCGCTGTTTATAAAATTTGCATGAAATTGCTTTCAAAACTAAAGAGTTCAGCAAGCAGACGATAAAATACACTATGATTGGAATAGTTATTTTATTGATTGATTGGGATAGTTATTTTATATACTTATAACCAATATTAGTATGTTCCAATTATCATAATTATTATCATTATTTATTTTGTTTATTTTATTTATTTATTTTTATTTTATTTTATATATTTATATATATTTTTTGTCTATTTAGCTATTTAACATAAAATATTTTTTAAAACTATTTTATTTTAAATTATTAATAGGTGAAAGACTTAAATATTTATAAAATTAATATATTATTATTTTTATACATTTTTTACTTCTATAGTAAATGTTGTCTATAGTAAATAAATTCTATAAATAAATCAATTTATTATATTTTGAATATTTTGTCAGCCCAACTTATCAACTTGTTTATGATTGAAGAGAGGTATTTTCCATTTCATTTTTATCTATCTATCACTTAGTTCTATACAATACTTTAATTGTAATATTAATTTAAGTATTTTATTTACACGATTTTTCATTGCACAAGATTCGATTTCTAAATTGCTCTTCCAATTGCAATTCCATTCAATTATAGCGGAAGTGAGAACAAATGTAAATTTTTTTACTGTCTGTAGTGAAAGCCTTAGAATAATAATATTTGCTGATCTCGGTGCGGATGCCGAGCAACCCGGCGAGTAATTAAGCAGCATATTCCAAAAGAACACCAGATGAAATATAAATGTGGTTGTGTGTGAGAGTGTGTGTGTTTGAGTGCTTAGGATACACATACATATGCACATGTTTTTTGCACGAGGCGCGCACAAAGTCAAGACTTTGTATAATTATAGCGACACCCACCTATCGGCGCCCAATTTCTGGCCCGAGCGCTCACACTCACACACAGACACACACACACACAATCAATATATATATTATCATGGACAGACATTCAGACAGACAGAGGACGACGACGTCTCGCAACGACTCACGGTCAAGTTGAACAAGTAAGAAAGCTCTAGTCGAGACTGCTCGACTACGAGATCCCCTGAAC